TACTGGTTGATTAACAGAATATTTGCCAAATTTTACTCAGTAATGTAGAGACTGTTGATTTCCTGAAATACTTGCCACCATATAATTCTTTTAAAGTTGTTCTAAATTGGGCATAGTGGCGTATGACTGTAATATCAGCATTTTGGGTAGCTGAGGCAGGAAGATCACCAAGTTTGAGACAATCCTGGACAATTTAGCAAATACTGAGAACTTATCTCAAAAGTAAAAGTTTTCAGAGAAATTAGGGAAACCACACCCTTCACAATATGAAAAAATGCTCAATATCATTGGTCATTCGAGAGATGCAAATTAAAACAACACTGAGATTCCATCTCACCCCAGGGAAAGTGGTTATCATCAAGAAATCAACCAATAACAAATGCTGGCAGGGCTGTGGGGAAAAAGGAATCCTTCTCCACTGTTGGTGGGAGTGTAGACTGCTACAACCACTGTGGAAATCATTGTGGAGATTCTTCAAAAAGCTAGGATTAGAGGTCCCATTTGACCCAGCTATTCCCATTCTGATGGGTTTTCTGCCTTAATAAAAATTCTTCTAAGTCATCATGGCAGTGAGCCAATATGGCGTGGGCCACAAGAGGCCATGTGGCAGGCTCTGCCTTCCTCCTCCCCAATTATATTACAACTTCCTACCTCCTTTTTACAACATCCTGTTTCCCTCTTCCTGTCCCCTGTCCAATCACTGACCACCAAGTCTCACAGACCATCCCCTAAACCCCACCCCCAGCCTGGCCTTATATAGATTTTGTTCCCCCAGCCAGACCCTCAGAAGCTCCACATCTCTCCTTTCTGCTGTGGTCTTTTCCGTGCCCATAATAAAGACATTTTTTGCTTTGTTCTACCTTTACTTGAGCCAAAAAGCCTAACACATTTCCCAGAATTGAAAACATAATACCACAGCAATATATGTGCACCCATGTTTATAGCAGTGCAATTTGTAATAGTTAAATCTTGGAAATAATCCAAATACCCATCAACTAAGGAATGGATGAAAAAGAAATATTTTTACACAATGGAGTACTACTCAGCTATAAAGAAAGATTAACTCAAGGCTTTTATAGGGAGATGGATGCAACTAGAGATCATACTCATAAGTGAAATAAATCAGAATTTTATGTGTAAACATCATAGCATATTCCTAGTGTCAGAAACTGAAAGAATAAATAAGATCCAAGAGTTACAATAGATATAGTGAAACGGAAAGAAACTGCTCAAAAAGGAAAGAACAACTGGGAAGGAGGAAAAAAGAAAAGAAGCAGAAAAAAGAAAAGATGTATATATACACAATATAGCTAAGATAATTGTACTACTAATTTCTACTAGTTCATGGAAAGGAACAGTTAGTGCTCATATTGTTTGATTAATTTTGCTTCCCTCTTCTGATAATCTGAGCAACTACTTTGAAAACAACAATATGCAATATAATAACCATTGTTAATTTCCTATCATCTTGTTTTGAAATTCTGTATCATTTTTATTTTTTCTCTCTGCAAAATAAAAGAAATTAAAATATTTTAAAATGCTAAGGGTGTAGCTCAGTACAAAGGCCCTGTGTTTACTCCCCAGTATTGTGAAAAAGAACAAAAGAGTTTTTCTATGCATGCCGATTTGCTCTGAAGCACAAAAACATTATAGGCAGAGCATGTCTACATAGCTTACATCAGCCTTTGAACTAGGACATTATTATTATTATTACTGTTATTTTTAGATAAGGAAGCTGATGCTCCAAGTGGTACCTCTGGAGGAAGTGGCAAGGCAGGGTCTCAGCCTGAGAATGTTGGAATCTGACCACCTTCCATAGGTCTCATCATACTAAGAAGAAACAGCTAAGTTCTGGCATGAAGCCACACAGAAAGCCATGGGGAAGGCCTCACTGTACTTCCTCAGCAGGGGACAGTTGAACCCCATAGCACCCACTTGTCAGCACTTGCCCCCACATCACCTTTCTCATTTTTCCTCCTTCCACAGCAGTCCTAAAATATACAGTGAATGTATAAAGTTTTAAAAAAATGCATTACAGTAAAAGACACATTGTCATTAATCCCTCTAAAAACCTTCACTTTGAACACACTTACCCCATTATTCTTGCCACTTTCTGAAGCAGTTCTGGAAGTCCTCTTTGGGAGTGTCTTTATGAGGTATGATAAAAAAAAAAAAAAAATACAGTGAATGCTGCTGACCAGTCCCATCTAACAGAAAGGCAGGCTTGTGAAAACATCACCACATGTCCTTCTCTGCCTCATTCACTGGTCTGGCACCGTGCCAATTCTGGCCCTTCCCCAAAGTAAAAATGGCCATAGAAGTATTTTTAATTGATTCAGGACACCAAAGTAGACAAAATAGAGCAACTAAAGATACTCAGGAAAGAGGTCTTCCAGAGCTGTTTCAGAAAGTCACGAGAACAGTGCGATAAGAGTGTTCAAAGCAAGGGGAATATTTTGAGGGGGGATTAATGGCTGCACCTTTTAATGTGACAAATTTCTTAAAATTAAGTATTCACCATAGTTTTTAATCGTACCTCATATTTGTTTTTCCAAGAAGGGAGGAAAGTGAAGGCAGATAGGAAATTCAAATGCTCTGCACTACTGGCCTAGCTTCTTGCCTCCAACTTTCCCACATTTGGAGACACAGAAGGAGCCTATTGCTCACGGTGGTGATGTGGAGCACTCTAAGACTGAGCCTGGGGTGAGACTATACAAAGCCTGACTTGATCCTCTGAGCTCCCTGGGACCCCACATTTTCCCATCCATACCTCAGCTTGCCACAAAAGCAGAGGTACCCAGAGCAACTCAGTTGCCATGGTGATGACCAGCAGGGCCATGGTATCCTCCAAGGCAAGGGCCTCGAGTTACTTTCCTACAAATACACTATTGCCTCTTCCCCACATTGGGAAAAATGAGGTCATCTACAAAGTCAGTCGAATAAACTGATAAGCACAATGGGCCAGAACCAGGAAACAGATCGCAAATTGGCGTGAGTCACCCCCAAAAGGAAGGGAGAGAAGAAACATGGTGAACGCGGTGCCTTCTTGGTTGAGTCTGGGAAGAAAACTCTCTTCTAAGAAAAGAGAACAAGGAAAAATGAAGACGGTGTCATTCTTCACATTTCCCATTAGCTAGCACCCCTCATGGCAGGACCCATCAATTTCACTTTTGCATGTCTGGACCGCAGCCAGCCACCGCACCACTTCCATATGCTCAGCAAAGTACAAACCGGCACCTCAGGTAAATCACACAGATTCCTTCACAGGCCCAATTTCTCCGATTTATTACTTGGTTTTGAGAAATCTCCTCACTACGCTTGCAGCCAGATCTCGGTTTTCCAGAAGGTGCTGGGCCTCGCTACCCACACTGAGAAATTGTTTTCCTTGGTTCGCTTTGCTCTCACCTGGCCAGGGTTCTACTCATCTTATCTATCACATTCAGGATATCAAAGCAAGAAGCCAAACATCTCAGTCACAATCCTTCCTGGGTCCTTTATTTCCTGGCCTTTCAGCAGATCTGAGGGAATGTGATGATTGCCAGAAAGCCATGGACTCTCACAGGGTAGCCTCCCTGGGTGGTGGCAGGGTGTGGCCTCGTGTCCCCTTGCTACCTGCCACTCCAATCCTTCCTCTCCCTACACACTCACACAAGCACACATATGCACACAAGTATGTGCAGATATACATGCATGCAGCACAATGCACACACATGTGTGCAGACACTCAGGCACACATATAAATACATGTGCATAGTCACATCTACACAAACACATATGCACACCTTTTCACTCTCCTCACATGGTCCTAACCTTTAGACCCCTGGCTGGCAGTCCTCCTCCAGGTGGACCCTGCAGGAGCATCCCCATGGTCCAGATAAGCCAAATGTTCATTGCTCAGTAACCACCAGGCAGGGTCAGCCCTTGTTGCATGCATTGCAGTTCCTTGGCGTTTTCCCCCATAAAGTTCAAAATGTGTTGAATAAATGAATTAATCTAGTTACACACACTCTGGCAAGTCATTTAACCTCTCTGCACTTCAATTTCTCCATCAGTAAATGAAGAGAGTAACAGCTACCTCCCAGGCTGCTGTGGGGTCCTCAGGCACATGGCTGGCCAGCACTCGCAAATGTCTGTATCTGCAGCTGAGCTGACAGCTGGCTTATTGATGCCTCCCTATTGATAAGGTCTTTATTGATAATACTGTACCAAATGCCAACAGATACAAAAGAAATGAAGGCAAAAGGGTCAGACACTGTCATCTAAGAAGCAATTCATCATGGTGATAGTGCGTGCAGCAGGCAGATCACAGAGCTCCTGCCACAGCAGAGCAGCACACTCAGCCTACTGAGAGCTGGACATCCTCCACTCGTCCCCTCTTCAGCTTCACTGAAAGGGTTTAGGTTTTACCTTGTTTTCATTTTGGTTGATGTCAACAAGGGGCAGAAAGTCTCCATGGGGCAGAGTGGGGAGAAGGCTACACCTCTGGCCTTAAATGATGAGAACAAGACCCAGCCCTCCCAGAGCCCAGTTTAGCTGGTATGCCAGCCCCAAGCCCAGGAAGTCCACATGCCCTTCCTGCCTGGATTCACCCTGTGACCTCATCTCCCCTGCCATCAAAAGGAGAAAAGAAACAAAAGACCTATGAGCAGAAAGCAAATAGATCCCAGCAAACATTCTAAGCAGGGACGAGTCCAAATCTAGCAAGGTCTGAATCTCATAGAAGTGGAGGCTGTCTTGGAGAAAAGGGCCACAAAATAATAAATACAAATTAGGCATGAGCATTTACTTAGAAAGAACACATTACTGAAGGCTCTGAGCTTCTACATAGCTCCTAGGAGACATTTTCAATCACATGGGGGTTCATACTGTCACAGAAAGGCTCCCAGAAGTGGCCCTGGCTCCTACCCTTCCTTGGCCCCCACAACTCCAGTATCCCAATACCTGCAGAGTACACACAGATGCCACCTCAATTCAGTTCCTCATGGGAAACCCACCTCTGTGTGTCTTTGTAGACTCAGATACAGTTCTGTCCACATTTTTAAAGAAGGATGACAACTTTGTCAACAGCAGCTCATCAGATGATTTGTCCACCTGTAGGCTGGAGAAAGGAAAATGAAGCTGAAACTCACCTCAGCAGTATTTTATTAAGTGGATCAGATCATCTGAACAATCCCTACAAGAGCCCTTCTAAGTTTTGAAGAGCAGGGGGATAATCACTTGATCTGTGTTGGATATGTTTTCAGATCAGCACATAGGTTTTCAGTGGTTTATGCTCCCTCTTGACTCAGCAGAGTGGCCCTGTGAGCTTGCTACAGCCACAATTACTCTCTCTTCAGGGCACATTCCCCTCCCACCCCTTCCCGGTATACAACCCACCCATCCTGCAAGGACCTTCCCCCACCCATTTAATCATTTGTCTGCACTTAGGATCTACAAGAGCTCCAGTTAGACAGCAGTGGCCTTTTCCAGCATTGTCCCTAAAGAATGTTCCAGAAATGCCTGCCATAGATCATTGCATTTTCCCACAACTAGAATAGTGGGTGAAAATGCCCCACCTCAGTCCCTATCTGCACATTCCCTTGGACACTCCCACACACACCCTCTCTCCCAAGCAGTCTTACTCTTGAACCTAGTCCTCCACTCCCCTGTCTGTGCAGAGAACCTGGTCAGCTCAGGTGAGAGGGCCATCTCCTTCTCTGAAGACTTGATCACAGGGCATGGCTATGTTGATCATGGTCACACATATGCGTAGCGTCCCACTCCTCACTACACTGTTGTCTTTCCAAGGCAGGCTTCCCAGCATGTATATGTCACCCATACCAGAATTCTGCAGTGTGAATGACTAATAAATGAACTAAGCACATGCTTTACACAAGATATCAGTGTACTTTTTATTAATAACTGCAATTTTTTGAAAATTATTGATAAGAAGATGTATTCTTTTTAAGAGTGACATTGGTCACCTAGAGGCATCCATGTGCCCTGGAGCAACTAATTTACCCGCTTGGTGCCCTCAGTCTCCCTGCAGTGGGATGAATGCAAGGACACCCCTTGCTTCTTGGGCTCACTGTGTTTAAGGGGTTGTCTGAGTTTTGCTAGCACACAGTGGGGACTCAAAAAACAAGCCAGCCATCGTACCTGGATCACAGGGCAGAGAGTCTTTCCATCTTCCCTTTTTTATGAGGTAAACATTTAAATTAAAAATTTACTACTGTAACAGACACATTGCTGTTAATCTCCTTCAAAATAGTCCCACTCACTTCAAACACATTTATTCTGTCATTCTTATTACTTTCTGAAGCAGTTCTGGAAATCCTCTTTTGTGTCTTTTCATGGCTGCCTCAATGTCCTCAATCAATTTAAGATATTTACAGTAATTTCTGTCAAATAAAGACACTGCTGCGTGTCTTCACACACCTTATTCAGCAGATCTGGCACCGTGCAACTTATGGCCCTTTTAAAGAGTGTGTCTTAAAAATGACCATAGGAAGTAAACTTTTCAGTCTATTCAGGACATTGAGGCATCCATGACAACACAGGAGGCATTTCAGAAATGCTTCAGAAAGTGCAAAAAACAATGGGATAAGTGTTCAAAAGGAGGGGGAATATTTTAGGGGAGATTAATGATAATTTTTTATACTGTAATAAACTTTTAAATTTTCATTTAAATATTCACCATACTCTGTGATCACATGTGGTGCATTTTCTTCTCTCAGGACTGGTTCACAGGGCAGCACAGTTTGTTTCTATAACCTACGAGGTAGATAATCTGTTTGACCGGGTATCTTTTTAAGGTAAAATCAGAGATAATTGGCCTACAAGGCCCAGGACAGTAACTCACTCATCTTGCTTGGTACAGAAGAATCACAAGATGGTTCAGCACTGCTCTGAGACAAGCAGCAGGCGAGAAGCACTCTGTCCTGCAGTCCCCATTGTCACACTTCCCTTCCACACTGTCCCCAGTTTACCCCACCGCAGGGGCTCCTGACAGGCTCCCTGCCCCATATCACACCCTCTGCCATCCATCCCTCCTTTCCATATGCACCAGTTATTTTTAAAATCTTTTAACTTGTGAGATAATAATAGAACAGAGCTGAACTTCAATATCAAAAGATTTACAGCCAAGAATAACTACTACGCGTCATTTTGCAGCATCATGCGACTAAGGTGTGAGATTTTCTAAATCAATTTGGAGCCCCAACCTGACAATTCTATAAAAAGTGCATTGATAAGTGAATGACAAATTGGGACCAAGCAAGATATATCCCTGGTACTCAGCATTTTGACAATCACATGTCAACAGTGCTGTCTATATAGATCAAATAATAGTAATTAGTTGACAATAACATCAACTGGCATATGAAAATAGACCACACTGGCCCTACCCCACAATCAAGGAGAGCTTTGAGTCTCTATGTATCTTTTTGTTCAAATTCCCTAAGCCATAAGTTCCGAACTGAAGCATTTGCATCCATTTTAGGGATAGATATTTGCCCTATTTTGTGGTTTGAATCTAAAATGTCTTCCACAAAGCTTGTGTATTGAGAGGTGGAGATTTGGGAGATGGGTGAGTCTTGGAGGCACTGTTCTCACCAGTAGTGTAATCCCTTGATGAGCTCATTGTTAAATGTGCTTCTGAGGGCGGGGCCTGCCTGGAAGAGGTGAGTCCCTGGGATGCGCCTTCAGAGGGTACACCTCTCCTCCTGACTCCTCCCTTCTCTCTGTTTCCTGGCTGCTGTGTGTTGAGCAACTTTCCTCCAGCATGTCCCTCTACCATGATGGTTCTGTCGTGGAACGAGGTGGCCGTGGACTGAAGTCAGGTGCCAAATTAAAGCTCTCCTCCTGTAAGTTGTGAGTGTCAGGTGTGTGGAGTCCCAGCACTGGGAAAGCTGACACAGGCCTTTATTGTGAAATTTTTAAAACAATAGTAATATAGTATCTGGGTCAAACAACATAGATGAATGATGATTAATCCCACAGTGCTGCTTCAAACCCTGAGTTTATGTCTGCGTCTGTCAGCCTAACTCCATCTAACCTTGGGCTTGCTGTGATGCACCTCTGGTTTTCACAGCCTTATGTCAAACCCCACAAAAATCCAGCACCCATGGTTCAGTTCTGTTTTGTTTTGTTTTGTTTTGTCTTGTCTTGTCTTGTTTTGTTTTGTTTTGTCTTGTCTTGTCTTGTTTTGTTTTGTTTTGTTTTGTTTTGTTTTGTTTTGTTTTGTTTTGTTTTTGGTACCAGGAATTGAACTCAGGACCTTGCGCTTGCCGGGCAAGCACTTGTACCATTGAGCGACATCCCCAGCCCCAACATCCACAGTTGAGCTCAAGTTTTATTTTCTTTATCAGTTTTTAAGTGAAATTTCCATGTTGAAGTGCTAATTCTGTCTGAGAAGCATTCCCAATCCCTTGAAGTTTGGGTTATTAGGTTATTTCATAAATTACGTTTGCTGTCACGAAATCCACCAATATGACAGGTGCTTTCCAGCCTTTCAGAGAGCACTCACAGGCAATGAAAAGACCCCGGGGCTACCGCGGCTGGGGCAGCATCCCCAAACCCCAGTGCTGCCACACATGAGCATGAGAGCCTGGTAAGCTACTTACCTTCTCTGGGCCTCGATTTCTTAAATATAAAATGAGCATAACTTGCTTGTGGCTGACATGACTCTCAGAAAAATATTTCTAGTTCTCCTCCTTGTCCAAGTCCATGTCCCATTGGTGTAGCCATATGAAGGGCTTTGGCCACTGAAATATCAGTGGGAATGATATGATTTACTTTGGAGGAGAAATATTTAGGAGCTGGTGCACAATTCTCTAAATTCTCATCCCCAAGAAAGATAATTGTGGAAGCAGATGTTGATGTGGCGGTGACACAGGCACGAAGCAGCCTTGGAAGCTAAGCCTCCACTTGTGTTTTCTGGAAAGTCTCCCAGACCCACAAATGACCTGACACGCACAAGAAACAAACATTGGTAGAGCAGGGCCACAGAGATTTTGGTGCTTGCACTGCAGAATAAGCTGGTCTGCTCTAACTGATATATTTCCTCCCGGGGTGCCGTGAGGATTAAATGATTTAGTGTACAAAATACATAAAAACACTAGCGCATAAACTTCTGTAAATATTTGCAAAAGTTGCCGTATTGAATCTATTCTAACACATATTTTTTCACATTTTCACATCTTATAATTGATGGTTTTCCTGTTTTAATTGTCAGCATATTTCTTTCTTAATGGTCCACAAAATCATCATGCATCTTTGATCCAATAAGATATGATTTTAGTATTATTATTATTTTGGAAACTAGTGAGTAAAGAACAGAAACTACAGTCTCCATGTGTAAGCACTGCCTTCCCACCTCATTGTGTAAACAAAGTTTTTGCAAGAGTTTAAGCAGAAGAAAGTGAGAGAGTATAGAGTTGTTACCCAAAACACAGTAGCAACATGTGCTAAACTTAGCGTTAGTGACCGTATTTATTTTTGGAGCTGATGTTTGTTTGGATCAGTCACTGCACACACCAACTGGCAACAGCCCATTAGCAATGCGTGTAACAGTCCACACTCAAGGAAGGACTATTGGCAAAGGCTTTCTTTAATAAAAGTATTCGTATTATATTTTGGGGTACACTGATAAATTTATATCAAGATAATAACTGGCTGTTAAAAGCAAATTCATTGACTCCTCTTTTCAGCAAAATATCAAAATCACCATACATGATGTTCACATGTGTTTACTTTTTTTTATTTTGTTTTGTTTTCTGGTACTGGGAGTCGAACTCATGACCTTGCGCTTGCCAGCAAGGCGCTGTGCCGTTGAGCTAAATCCCCAGCCCCCTCACATGTGTTTAGTTTTTATAATTTTCTCTGCATTAAATTTGTTAATTTGTCTTACTTTTATACTTGTGGAAGAGTCAGATGCATAGATCTTTTGTTAGACTTTTACTGGTACATATTGATGTGACAAAATAATAAAGACAATTAAGTCAACCCTGTAGAAGAAGTTTGTACATTGTTTAATTTTGAGAAACACTGGCTCAAACTGTGCCTACAGTTGTCTTTGTTTTTCTGGCAACACTCCTAAAATATTGTCAGTACCAGGCAAAATCAGCACAGATGCGCAAACCAGAGAGAACCTCTGCTTGGCTATGACCTGCAAGCAGAAACCTAAAAGACAGGCTGTGGTCTCCTTGCTCAGCCCTCTGCCCACCACAGGTCCCTGGAACTTCTCAATTGCTCTTGCAAGCCAGCCAGTGTTCAAAGTTTCTGGCCAAGGAAGTGGTCTGGGACAGAAAGCATGTCTGACGAGGGTCCCAGTAGCTCCAGGCAGAAAGGACAGTCGCACACAGTACCAGTAATTCACACGTCCCCTCCTACGACTCAGGTCTGCTTGTGCAGGAATACAGGCTTCATCTGCTACTGCACCTGCCTTTGTTGATAAAGCCCACCAAGGCCACAGTCCTACTGGAGCTCCCTGGAAACATCTGGGCCACACACTCTCAGCATCTGTCACCTTTCTCTTTAAGGATGCCATCATTTGCCTTTGCCAAACCATGCTGTAGAAGCTGCCCCTTTACCATGCTTCTCTTGGCTTCTTGTACTTTCATTGGCATTTGAATCATGACTGAATTATTTAATTCATTAATTAAGAATTTGGAAACCCTGATTAGAAACCAAGTCATATTGTCTTCTTGGGGAAAATATATTATTCAAGGTGAGGAATAGAGAAGATCATTCACATTTGATTACCTAACTCTATGAACCAATACATGGATTTATAAAAAGGCCATCTTTAAACAAGGAGATTTTAGGAACTGGCTCCTTTCCCAAATTTACAGATTTGTTAACATTATGGAGGTGGTATTGACCTTGGAGTCCACTAGCTCTCCCACCCGCCGGTTTTACAGATGAAGAAACCAAGATCTAGAGCAGTGGAGGAAGTTTTCCAAAGCCACACAACTAATAAGCCCCAAATCTGACAGAAGTCAGGCCTACTAATCTAACTGCAGAGCTCTTTCCTAACTTGCAGAAGATATATCTTTCCATCCAATCCTTACACACACATACATGCATGCAAACACACACACACACACACACAGAGGCCAGCAGTTCTTACCCACACCACCTACACATGATAAATATGCCACCACATATGATCCCAGGTTTTGGATGTTCAGTTCAATCAGGCAAACCTGCTATAAATGGTCCCCGGTGTACAACAGTTCAGCTTAAATAGTTTTTTAGAAGCAATACACATTCAGTAGAAACTGACCTTAGGATTGTGAACCTACTTTTTCCTGAGCTAGCAAGAACTAGTAAAATATTCTCTCATCATCCAGGGTGGCAGCAGCAAAATGCAGCTCCCAGGCAGCCCAGTGATCACAAGGAAAATGATCCATACTCTACCATATTGCTAAGTTGCGCGTTCAGTCGGCAAGCTGTACTCAATGCATTTTCCACTTATGGTATTTTCAACTGATGATGATTAGAGGGATCAGTGTAAGTCTTTGACATCATAAACCAGATGAAGTGCTGGGCTGAGCAGTTGGGGTCCCTGCAGAACAAGGGTACAACTTAGGGCACATGACCAAGCATCCTCTAAGAAACACAATGTATTCACTGAAGCATGCCCTGTGAACACAGAAGAATGGGCCTAGCAGGCTGTCATGGTCTGAATAATTGTGCATACTAAAAGTTATGTTGAGGTGTCAACCCCTGGTATTTTAGAAGCAGAGTCTTGGAAGATGTAGCCAATTTAACACGAGGTCATTCGTGGGTCCTAACCCAATATGACTGGTATCCTAATAAGAGAAGAAACAAAGAATTGGACACACTCAGAGAACAGACAGAAACACAGGAGAAGCCACATGAAGACATGGGCAGACATGTGAGTGGCACATCTTTAAAGCCAAGGAACCCTGAAGATCACTGGCAACACCTGAAGCTGAGAGAAGCCAGAAAGGATCTTACCCTGTGGCTTCAGAGATGATGGCCCAGCTGACATCTTGATCTTGGACTTCCATCTCCAGAGTTGTTGATTTCTGCTGTTTCAAGTATCCTGTAGTAACATCGGCCACCATTATTTCCAAGACCATCAGTGGACGCCTAAAGCCTGGGAGAGCACGGCACCCTATATATATACTATGCTTCTTCCTATATAATCTATTACAAAATTTAATTTATAAATTAGATAAATATGAGATTAACAATAATAAGGTTAAATAATTATAACAATATGCTATAATAAAAGGTTATTTAGAATTTAAGAATTATGCATTTCTGGAATGTTCCATTTAATATTTTCAGACCAAAGTTGGCCATAGGTTACTGAAACCACATACAAGATGAGATTATTATACAGTCAGCCTTCTGTATTCATGGGTCTCACATCCATGAATTCAACCAACCAAGGATCAAAGACATTCAGAAAAAATATTGTATCTGTAATGAACGCATACAGAACTTTTCCTTGTCATTATTCCCTAAACAGTGTAGCATAAAACTATTCACATAGCATTTATGTTATATTAGGTGATATATGTCATCTAGAGATAATTTGTATTATATGGAAAGATCTGCAAAGAGTACACCATTCTCTGTAAGGGGCTCTGCACCTGTGGACTTTGGTATCAGCGGTGCTCTGGACCCAGTCCCTAAAGTCACCCAGGTCAACAATGTTGTTACAGTAGCCCTAGGTGTACAGGTAATAGGTAATAAACTGTCACTTTCACAAAGCACTCACTTGCTTATGGGTAATTTTAGACTTCAAATTCTTCAAGGCACTGCCAAACTTTTCTGGCATTTGAAGTGTCCTACAAACATGGCAAAAGAGAAGACATCTGCCCAGCAATTCTCATCTCCCTCAGACACACTCATTCCTTCAAATCACTGTTTATACCCTCTCTCCCTCCTAGTACTACATCTTACTTCTCTACTTCCAGCACAGAACAAAGTCCCTCCAGCTTCTCCAGGAGATAAGAAAAGGGCAGGCAACAGTAGCATGACTGCACCTGATGTCCCTGCTTCCTGATATTACAACCACACAAGAGTCATTAATTCCATCGCTCAGCAACAATTACCCACCAACAACTTCATAGCATGCATGACTGGAGGTTAAGCCACTGCAGGGAACAGATCTCCCAGAGAGGTTAGGTCAGATATTTGACAGGCATGTGACTTTGGAGATGGTTACACACATACATACATAGATGCATAGGATAGATAGTAGATGTCATGGATGAATGATAGATGGTAGATAGATAGATAGATACATACATACATACATACATACATAATACATACATTCACAGATACATACCTACATACATACAAAGATAGGCAAGGGGAGGAAAGTATCAGGTAGCACTAAGTGCCAAGCAGAAAATAGAATCAGTGATGTGCTAATGTTCAACCAGGCAGTTATTTCATTTCGTCTAGTCAGGAAATCACTGAGGCAGTGATTTAATCCGAGCTCTGGGTTAAAGCTGGCTCCAGGGTCCAACCTTGAGCACAAGTCCCAGAGGAAAGCACCAAGCTTGGGGCAGACAGAAGTGCTCTCTTCTAGGTGTCCCAGCCCTATCACTTCCAGAGCACAGCAACTTGCAAGTCCCCTGGGAAGACAGATACAGCCATGACACTTGCTTTATGCAATGAGAAGCAAAGCTGATGGGCCCATACCTCACAGCATCCCCTGCCTACGTCTGCAGAGGCCACAAGAGCCCATATGGAAATGCAGCTGTCATTAGCCTGTATCCCCAGGACCTGTTATGAGGGAACCTTCTGGCTGACCCACACTAGACCAGGTGTTAATAGTCCTGAGTTCCAGTCCCAGCAGGAAGTACACTATCAGTTTAAGTCACTAACATTTGGGAACACAATCTAATCCACTGCAGTTCCAACAGTGCTTTGGAGAGAATACCTGGCTGAAGTGCAGCACACAGAAGTTATGGAACCCAGCCAGGGAAAAAGACTTTCTGCTAAATATTAGGAGAAGAATTGGAAGGTTTTCAGCAGTGGATGGATCCATAAGAGAGAAGCTAGTAGGAAAGAAAGCCTCATACAGAGGCCTCAGAGTATGACCCTTACCCCAGGTCATGAACTTTAGGATCCCACTCATGAGCACTGTGACCTGGAGCAGCTCAGTTCTGTGTCAAAGTTTATTCATTATTTGTTAGAAGGGTAATAAAATGGCCAGTTTCACCATGTCATGAGAACTCAAGGAATTAATTCATGTAAAGAATCAGGAAAAGTCCTAAGTGCATCGTAAGCATTTAAGGAGTAATGAGTAACTAAATTCTAATTCTTACCACTAGACATTGGCAACCTATTCCCCAGCTAACGTTGTCAGTGGCTAGCTAGGCTCCTCTCTAAATGCTGGCTACAGCTTAGATCTAAAATGTCCTGCAAGGTCTCATGTGTTTGGAAGGGGATCAGATAGTAGGGGATACACTCACTGTGGAATGTCCATTGGTGAGTCCAGTAGCTGAATGTGCTGTTAGGAGGGGGTCACTGGGGGTGTGACTTGGAAGGGTGTGTTCCTCCCTTCCTTCTCTGCCTCCTGGCTTCCACGAGGGTTGAATAGCTTCCCTTTGTCATGCCCTTCCACCATGCTCTTTCTACCTTGGGCCCAGCCAACTATAGACAGAACCCTCTAAAACCATGAGCCAAAATAGATCTCTCTTTCTTTAGAATTCGGGTATCCAGTGTTTTATCCCAGAGATGAGAAAATGACTGATAGAGTCCTGTGCCTGACTTGAGCTTTGCTTAAAAGTGCCTTGACGATGGGAGCCGAAATGGAGATTCAAGCTTTTTTTGGAAAATCATAAGACAATCTAGGAGAAACTGAAAAGCTCCCAAAGATGTGAGCTGGGCTCAGTTGTGAGCATGCAGTAGCTCTGCTGGGAACAGGTGAATCGTCTTAGTTACCAGTGAATATCTTTCTTTTCGCTTAGTGATAGGCATTGGGATAGTGGCAGAAGCCTCAGTTTACGTTTTTTATTCATCAGTTCTGCCCTAAGCAAGAGAGAGTGGCAGGGGATTCCATCCAGGGGATGGAAATGATGAATAACAAATGCAAATGTACAGTGAATAATGTATTTTGGGAGTTAATTAAACTTTTCACTAAAGAAATCAAAAACTGAAGAAATGCTTCCTTCAATAGCTTTGGACATCAAGTTGTTTTGAAGCCCCAAATTCTCAGTTGCCACTGTGCCTGTCTGTCCCCCAAGAGACTTGAACTCCAAGAACCATCCCCTCCACTGAGGAGGAACCAGTGTATGCACACACAGAGGGTACAGGCAAAGCTCTAAGCCTAGTAACAGAGTGACAAAATGACTCTGGGCAGAAATTGTAGCATTCCTCCTTTTTTTCTCCTCTCTACAGTGTACATCCTTTTCATAAGAAAACAGATACTAAATTAGAGACTATTTAAATATCTTTCAGTTTTTTCAGTACTATTAGGAATCACGCTGACTCAAATCAGGAAACCATGTGATCTCAGGTACCAGTGGGCTGATCCAATGGGAGCCTGGGATCCAAGGAAAAGTATCACATGCAGTTTGCAAACCAAAACCTATAAAAGGGCACTAATCCAACTTATGAGGTTCCACATTCATGACCTGATGACCTCCCAAAGTCCCCACTTCTTCATACCACCTCCTTGAGAGCTGAAGATTTCAACATATGAATCTTAGTTCCCGGTGCCGGAGAAAAAACAAAAAAAACAAAACATATGAATCTTGGGAGGACACAAACTTTCAGATCATAGTAGCCCATGATGAGATTTCTAATACTTGGATTTATTTAAATCAATGTTTTCCTGACTCCTCAACTCCTGTGCTTAGATGATACCATCATCCTAAGGCACCTGCCCCTCCTCCAACTTGCTTTCACTTCCTTGTGCCAGAACTCCTGACTATCCAACTGGACTGCATCTCATTTTAGCATGGAGCCTGGGCACACACAGCCCCTCCTGTTCAAAGTAACCCTATCCTTTGCAATATTAACAAAAAGATTTAACCTTCCCCTTTTTCCTCTGACTGCAAGAGAGGGTGTGGCCCAACTGGCAGTGGTCATATCTTTCTCCTAGAGGGTGGCCCAGAGTGACTAACATTATAGTCTTTCTGCCACATCTGCAGTTCCCTCAGCAGCCACCTTCTAGCCATTCATCCCTGTAGCCCCAACCAAAGCTAAATAGGCTTTAAGCTGTTACCCGTCCCCTGCTCTGAGCCACTTTAGACCAGTGCTGCCACCACTCTGAGAAGTAGGGCAGACCTAATCAATAAAGGTCAAAGGTTGCAGAGGGAGTGTGGCCCATTGCTAATATCCTCAAGATGCCTAAACCCCAGTGGGTTATGATCAACACTGCCATTCCTCCTAGAGACATTATTAAAATTGAGGAAATCACAATTTCAGCCCTGTCATTTTCACAGAAATTTAGTAATCAAACAGCAACTTCTGTAGTTCACTGAGATGTCACCATGATAGTTGTGGCTGTCTTAGACACCCCATGAGTCTCCAAGAGATGTCTGCCTTGGCCACAGCAAACTTGAAACATGAAGCTATCTCTGTTGATTCCACCCTGAAGTCACTCCAGGTAACTTCACATTGCAGCCTCCTGCTGATCTCGCCTACCTATCACTACTTCAAATGTTCCAGTATAGGTCCCTAAAATGCTGGAAACTGTGCAATGTTCCCTCACACTCCTTGGGCCAGGTCAGAAGGGCTCCTTTCTGTGCACTGACCCTATGCTATAGTACTGTTCCAGTAAAAACCTCATTCCAGTGGTCCCACTTCCTACTTGTAACTCTTATCTCAGGGAGAGTAGCTGAGAGGGTTTCAGTAAAGAGAGCTGGAAGCACTAGTTGTTGTCAGCTCTGAAGACCTCCAGAGAGCAGTGAAGCAACTAAGAGCCAAGAGCGAGACAAATGGACACTTAAGAGATGTATGGTGACCGTGGAGACCTGTAGAGACAGATGGAAGTGCCCCAGAGATGGTATAAGTGCTGGAAGAAATCCAGAAACCTGCTGCTAAGGAGCTGATGGGGTGACCAGGAACTACC